GGCGGCTGACAAGCCTTCACCCAACTGGAGTCTGATCCCTGAGCAGGAAAGAATCAGCTGCTGGGACTGACTGCAGAGGCAGCTTTGTACTCAAAACAGCAAATCCTCATGTAAACACATTGATTGATTCATTCATAAACTGTGGGACTTCATCCCCAGTATGCCATTAAATGATTCCATTCGGTATTTAAATTGTGTGTCACAATGTATGACTGGATTTTTTTTGGTTGAAGAATACCAGTCAAATATAGTTTACTATTCTTATACAAGTTGCTGCTATAATCTTTATGTATCACTGTGGAATATTGCCAACTACTGCAGTACCTTATTGCTGAGTTTTTCTAATGAAGGTGGGGTGAGAGGTGCTGATATACAACCAACAGTGAGCCTGTGTTAGAGCTGTTGTGCAGCTTTCACTCACCCAGGCAGAATCTGAATTAGCTGCAAGTAGTACAAGCTGTACTGAAATGGAAAAATCAAATACCAGATTTTTTCATATTTTTGTGGTTCTCAAATTGCAGGCAACAGTACATGATCTCTTAGGGAGTATGGGAGAAGACTTTTGTGAGATAATGGGAACAAAAGGTTAATTTAAAGGAGGAGTTTGTAACTGAACAGTGTAGCAGACCATGATGAATCCTAGACTATGATCTAATTATGAGCCAGCTTCTGCTGATGTGGGTGAAATCTGTAAGTTGTCTTTTTGTTTAGACTTACCTCACTTGAAAGTAAAGCCTAAATGGAGTCTCTAATGAGCATTAATGCTTTCCTAATATATTAACAATTGTTTGAAATCAACAAAACTATAGAGGCTATATAAATACTAAACCTTTACAGTGCGAAAATATTATGTGAAAGGATGCCTCTGTAAAGGTTTTAACCTGAGATGGATAAAAATGAATGCTTTGAGTATACTTTCAGGGGCATACAGTAAGTGCTGATTAACATTACAGAAGCTATGTAAACTGCTCTACTGCAGCCTGAAACTTCAGGGGAGAGATGTTCAGGGTACCCTACCAGTTGTTTCATCTGTCTGCCGGACAGCAGGCTGTGTGGTGCTGTGAGCTTCATTTACAGCACCCTGCTACTGCATAAGTAAGTGCAATGTTGATAGAGTCAGTAAAACAGGAAGATGAGGCGCTATATTCTAGTTCCAAAATTGCATGTTATCTTGCATAAAGTGCACAGTAATTTCAGTCACATTTCTTCATTCCCACTAAATAAAAAGTAGGAGCATTATGGAATACAGTGTTTCTATAATGCATTGTTAGTGGTGGTAAAGTGACCGCTATCCATACATAAAGTAGAGTAGTTATAGGTTTCCAAAGCCACTCCAATTTTTGTAAGAAATTGTTTATCTTGCCTAACAATCAGCTTAGAGTTGTATTTAAAAACTGCAAAGTATTTATACTGCCCTACCATCATATATGTGCCTCTAACAGAAAATGAATACTAGCTGAACCATCACAAACTGCATCATTGCTGTAAGTACTTGAAACTTCACTTGAGTACTTGACTGGTTTTGAGCAGAAAACCTTTTTATCTAAATTGTTTTCAGCATATTTAAAAGGGGGGAAAAAAAGGGAAACTTTATATATTTTTCACAACTTTCAGTTTTGTTTACTTCTGTTAATGTATACTTTTTGAATTGGATTTGCATTTCAAATATATTTTAAATTGTTTCAGTTGTCCCTTTCCTAATGATTCTTCTTTGTATTAACAGCATCATAAAATGATTTAAAGAAAACACCTTTAGTCTTGCTTTAATGTACATAATATTTAATATCTGTTGTTAAAGATACCTGATCAGATGAGACTTTCAATATCTTTTAACACATCCATCTTAGTACAGAACCTGATTTTGTAGTTAATCTTTCTTGCCCACATATCCTGATAGTGACAAATGAATCCCCTTAGGATCCTCTAGTCCTAGGATTGCAAATTGGCCTGTAAGAACTACAGAAATGCCTTTATTCTGCTGGCCAACAGTTATAAACATTTACATGTACTTATTATGTTGATGGACACTGCCAAATCTAGAAATGGAGGGACTACCACTAGGTTCTGGCAGGTATCAGAGATGCATGCTTCTCAATACACCTGGAACTGGCACATAAGTGCACTTCTGTTTTGGGTGTTGGTCCATAGCATGCAGTATTGCCTGAATAAACAGCATGAGTCAAAACAAGGAAACTTAGATTTCCATTTCAGTCTGAAAGCACTTCCTTATGACATTTTTCAGAGGGTGGTTATTGACATCCCAGTTCCTAATGTTTTCTTTCCTCCAAGTACTTAACTATTGTCAAACCAAAATTACTATGTAATACTCTTCAGGAGCATGACTTCAGTGGTGGCTGCTAGACAATTACTTTCCCTTAAAGATTTATCATTACCTTTGTAATACAAAACAAATAACTGAGTCTTGGTCTCAAGCATGACATGGAACAAGAAAATTCAATTTGAGAACAGCAAGTCTGAAAAGGTTTGGTCAGGCTAATACTTATATGTGATTTATAATTCTAAATACGTACCTTTGTGTGTATGTATATATACAGACACACACAGTTGCATGTGTTTCCATGCACCTTTCTAAAAATGTTAATTTCCTAAGGTAGAATCATACTGGGAGTAATTCAAAACTATTTTGAAGCAGAAGTAGGTTACATTAATAGTAATGTGGTACGTTAACACAAATTACACACTAGAAAAGGTTTGCTAGCATATTCATAGGCTCTATCAGTATAGAAATTGCAACTTTTTCAGGTCTAGAAGAAACAGAAACACCTAAGCATTTCTATCTAGTTATTTTAACAACACTTTTTTTTTTTTAAATTAAAAATACGTATGGAAAAGGAAGTCACAGTTAGTATAAGCACTAGCAGGCTGTCATCTCTGTCCCCCAGCACACTGCCTCCTGACAACACCAGTGCAGACAGCTTGGGTGTTATTCCCCTGTGCTATAACCCCCAGCATTCTGCAAGCCCTGGTAGGTAGGAAAAAAGTAAAATGCTATGTGAGTGAGAGAGTATTAGCTGATGTCCCAGAAGTACCGTTATTCATTTGAGGATCCATTTTCCAGTCAAATCTAGTGGAAAGTGGTAACTCAGATATATTGAGAATTATATACTTACGAAATTTTTACAAAATTTTACAAAAGTATTTAAAAGCATGGTAGCAGTAAGTGTATATATATATATAAGTGTTTTACAGGTTAGTTAGATGTATATAATCTGTATTTAAAATTTCTCAGCTATTTCTTAAGCTAGTTTCTTAGTATCTGTTTTCTTAGATGGAAAATGATTCTTTTTATGTTGATACTCAAACTAATGATGTGGAAAAAAAGATATTGTGGATACTTTGGCAAGTCTGGACTGTGGAATTGTCTAGATTATTTTATTGGAACTACTTACAGAGTGAATACTAAACATAGAAAGACTAAAGTCCAGTCCACAGTATTTGTAGCTTCATCATATTTCTTTACCTTTTGCCTCAACTGACAAGGCATCAGAAAAATGGCTTCCTGTCTGCCCGTAAGCCTTAAGCTGTTTGTTCAAGAAGTCAAAACCGTATCTTAAGTATGGAAGTGATGAAATAGGTTCGCTGAGAGCATCTGCTTTCAACAAGCGAGGAATTTTGTGCTATCTTGTCTCTAGATGACTTTATGACGGAGCATCTCGTACATCACACTGAAGCAAACCTCCTTCAAAGAGGAAGGAGCGTGTTGTGACGAGCCCTGCGCTGCCAGCGGCCGGGATCCTGTATTCCCCTTCTGAAGCTTGCGACTAAAAAAAAAAAAAAAAAAAATATTCCAAGGGAAGGCTGGGCAGAGTTCGTGCAGCAGGTGGTTTGAGGAGATGCACCAGGCTATCTTCGTTCTCCTGGGTCAAGGAGACTTGCAATGCCAGCCTGGTCAGAGCCGCTTTGTCTCTCTGCTAATCGCAGCTTGGAGAAAGGAGGGCGGCACACGCTCCGTTTCTTCCCTCAGAGTAATAAACAATGCTGACATGCAGAAAATGCCTAGCAGCCTCTTCTAGGCTAGAAGCCAGAATTGCTTTGTGTCTAACCCGCTAGGGAGAGCTTGCAAAACTCCCCTTGCCCGGATACCCACGGGGGAAAGAGGGACTGTGTTCGGGAGGCCTTGCGCAAGCTGAGCAAGGTTTCACGGCTGAGCAGGTGGCAGGTACCATCAGGCTCCCAGTCGTACTCCAGGGAGGGCAGCAGCAGTCAGAACTGCTGTGAAAACAAGCTGCTTTCAAGCTACCTTGCCTAGTAGCAAGACTGAGGAGTAAAAACATCAAGCAAGGAAGAGAAGTATTCAAGGGAGCCCATTGAACGAGCACGTTCAGGGATGGAAATTCCCCAACCATTTAAGACCACCACCAGCCCTGCTTTGCTTTACCTCGCCTCGTGGGCAGCAGTTTGTCGGTGTGACGCGCACGGTGACTAAATTCGTGTAACCTGCGTAAGGCAAGACTGAAGCAAACGAAGTCTCCTCAAAACTCTACCTCTGGTTTGCATCTCATGGCCACCAGAATAACCAAGGAACTTCTTTAAAAAAAAAAAAACCAACACCAAACACACATACCCTAAAGGAATTAATTATGCTAGGCATCAGAAGGGGCTGAAAAACAAGTGCCTGCCAGGGACATGGTTGTGAAGACATTATGAGGATAATAAACATCAGCACCATAAACTAGGTGCAAACTGGGCCTCACTAGAGGGCTAACTGACAGAAGGTTTATAAAACCAGTGGAGGGCATTGGGTTGCAGAAGCATTTTCCACAGGGAGTCAGGAGAGCAATCTCCTGGTTTAAACATTTTGGAAAGCCAGCCCGATTGGGCAGCCCTCCTCCAGCTGACAGCCTGACCGAAATCTTTAAAGCCAGTGAAAAATCCTTAGTTCACCACAGCGCTGTTATTCAGCTTTTTAAAGCTCATGTGTGTCTGTGAAGGAAATAAAGTAGTTCTGTGCTAAAATACACCATAATAAACCCATAGAAGAAAATTGGGAGCATTCTTCAGCACGACACAGAGCTCTGAGCGTTAGCATTTGTTGAGGCTATGAGGTAGCACGGACCAAAGCTTACCTCCAGAGAAGCAGCTGAGAGCTTTGCTGCTGCTTCCAGTGAGTCCACCATCTCTCCTGGAGGTCCATCCTGAGAGATGCTGGCCCCCTCAGTTCCCACTGGAGTCCAGGCATTTCCCTCTGTCTGCACTTGCTTCTCCAAATACCAGGAACAAAAATGGAGTTATCCATGTTCTCTCTTTATCCAGCCCTCTTTTGTTTAAATAGGTTCTGGTGTGGGCTCTAGCAAAATTGTTGTGTGAAAAGATAGGTAAGAAATACATGTATAAGATGATTTCTTACATGCTTTTATGCATTATATTTTTGAGGGCTTGGATTTTTTTATTTTTTTTTTATTTTTAGTTAAGCTGTGGGGTTTTTTTAAAGTTTCAAAATACTTCGAAATTCTTTAGTGGAAGGAGTTTTTGTGAATACATACAAACCTTTCCCCTTCTATCCACCCTTCATATACATCCTA